AAAATTTTGTCAAGGCCCCATATTGATTAAGTTTTTCTATTTCAGCACATAACTCCTGTTCATTTTAACTGTGGTGCTTATTGATGGTTTTGGTGACATGTATGCTGTCTGAATAGTAATAATTCTACCCACGCGTTTTAAAACGTCGGAATATTTGACTAATCACTGGCTCTACCGAAGTGTTTTCTCTCTACATCTCATACTTCGTAAAAAGTGTGATGTTCTGTCAAATAAAAAAGTGAAATTCAATTTATTTGGTGGACTGCTGAATGGAAATGTCAGTTTTTCTAGCACGTTCCTTCTTTGAGCAAATAAGTAAATGGGCACTTTGGAGCATGTTGCTTCTCATTGTAGCTTAAGAAGCGCCCTTTATCAAGCAACTACCTATGAAGCGTTTGAGTCAGGTTTGCTTTTGAGACCATTGAAGCCAAATAGATTCCAGCGTGGATTGCGCGGCATGTTTTCAATGACTGTGAAATTTGGTTCACTTATTTACGCTCGTATGGCGGATCAGTCGCAGCACATTCACACCCATTTACTGTTCCAACTCATTCTGAGTAAGGGCTCCAGACCAGAGCCGGACACTTCCTCATTTGAAAGTTGTTACTTTGCCTCTTCTAGTTACAAGGTAATATGTGTGCACTTAACGGTTTTCCTGTGTTTACCCTCCGAGATTTCTCTTCCAATGGTAGCTTCACTAAAATAACCTGGAGTTACGAACAAGTATATTGCTGAGCAACAGGGCATGATGTGTTACACAATATCCGCCTTCCAGTGGCTTCGGTAGATTTGCCCAGAGTTACATTTTGATAAGAGTATGCAAATCATCCCAAATATATTTAGAGTTTTCGAATCAATTCGATTTACATGGCAGTGGAACTCCAGCAAACTCATTGGATTCTTGTGCCATTGTTGTTATCGACAGCCCCACCATAGGCGTTAAGCCTGTAATGATGCACAAAAATGGCATTTCCACTCCAGTTTGTATATATCGGTTACCGAAGGATGTTTGGTATTATTTGTGATTCAAAAAGTCACCATAAACGCATGTCAAAAAAACCTTTCCTGCATTTTTATCTGACGAGCATGGTAAACAAACAATGGCCAAAAACGGACGTCATCTGAATCCAAGGAACATTAGTTCAGGGGTCCGTGGACTTTCTAAATCGTCGTGAAAAACCGCAAAGACGAGTTTCATTGTTGGGGTTAATTTGGCTGCGAGCTCCAGATACGGTCGGAATTCCGTTTACTGGGCACTGTCAATACCCATGCGTGACTATCAGGAAACATAACCCTAACACTATAGTTTTTGGACAGCCTGTATCTAGCTCTTTCCATTTTCAAGTTCAAGTTAAACAGAGTTCCAGGTGAAAAACACATTCCAGTAAAGAGTAAAGGGTTCGTTCCGGCCAACGAGAAACAAAATCGTTCCAATTGTTGGATGGACAGATTTTGTTCTGTTTGTGAATTCAAATATAAGTGAATATTGCTCCAATATCTGTAATTAGCATACATATTTTGGTGCTGTCAAAAGTCGCATCGGACTCGTTCGTCATACAGTTGTTTTTGCAGTCTCTTAAGCAAATCAAGGGTTTAGGACTTCCGGCCAACGAGAAACAAAATCGTTCCAATTGTTGGATGGACAGGACAGATTTTGTTTGTGAATTCAAATATAAGTGAATATTGCTCCAATATCTGTAATTAGCATACATATTTTGGTGCTGTCAAAAGTCGCATCGGACTCGTTCGTCATACAGTTGTTTTTGCAGTCTCTTAAGCAAATCAAGGGTTTAGGACTGAATAGTCTTTTGAGCTCAAAAATAAAATGCAATTTACGATCCGTTCGGTGACCTACCAAAACATTACAAATGGGTGTCGGTTGTCAGTTGCTTTTAGGGTAGTATGTATATTCATTGCTCAATTTCATGACCTTATTTAATCCCCAATTGCGTACCGTATAGCTTGCAATGTCACCAGCGTTAATCAGCGGGTGATCCACAGTTAGGTTCTGCAAAATGACCTGGGGAAGTAGATGCGTGGAACAGGTTCTATATCGTTACCGACATTGTTTCAGCGGATCAGTCTTTAGTGATATCCAAGGTCGCTGAAATGGTTATCTTGAATACTGAAATGTCGTGTTTGGAGATGGTTGCATTTAGGCTCAGAACTTCTCTGTTACGGCCAGATTTGAATTTTCTGCTGGAACTGTTTTTACATTCCCCATTTTCTTCTACTTCGTGATACAAGAAATGTTTTGGTTCGTTGTCCATCACAGACAGAACTGCCGTTTGATTCAACCCGCAGTATCATTGCTTCGAATTGCTCAGAGAATGCGATTCTCCCAATTAAGACTCATGATGTTCATTCCAGAGATTTGTGAGTCTCTTGTAGTTATCGTCAGCTAAGCTGTACTTTCTCTCAGCAGTGGTGCTTCAGACATATCGCCTCGTAATGTGCCTACCAAACAATAATATAAAAAAAACTTGAGGTTATGAGGTTTTCGTTGTCCTTCTGATTGTCCAACTGATTAGAATGATGGCCTATGTGGTGCCCCAAGAAGGCGGCACTCACTGAACAACAGCCAATGAGATAATCATCGAGGTATTTCATTATTCGGAACCAACACTGCATACGGAATATTTCTGTCTCGAATATGTGGAACGGTTACCTATCGTAATAATCAGAATTTCATCATAAGGAATCCACTTATGTTTCACTGTTTTGCCGTGCTAGCTTAAGTGATTATGAAGGAACATGCTTCGTTTTATTCACCAAATTTGTTACTATTGTACGAGCGTCCCCACAAAGACCAGTGAGACCATCTAAACTGGTACCACGCTTTGCATCCGTCCTGTATGCTTCGGTATGATTTCCATGGGTAACGAATAAAATCTATAGTAATGATAGATAAGCTACTATTGAATGAAACTGCGAAAAACTTTTCAAAAGCAGAACCTTTGAGTGTCAGTTCAAGCAATATAGGTATGAATTGGTAGTTGGCGAAGATCATAGATGTTTTCCAGTTGAACATGTAAGAACTGTGAGTGTCATTACAAGATTTTTGGTGAGCTGCCTAAAAGTGCCTAACGGCGCGATGCTTCGACATCAGGCCGCATTAAACGCCTCCATGGAAACAGTTTTTTGTACAACTCAAAGACTAAATCAAGACAGTATTTGATATCTTGACGCTTTTACAAAAAATTTGTATGGTGTTTTGGGAGTTGATATTGGGGATTTGGACGGCCAATTCGGCGAATTCAAAATAGCGTCGGTGGTGGCTCAGAGTAGCGGATCAGCACGTACTTTAAAGTTTATCTGAACATGATGAAAACATCTAAAAATTATTTTCCGTCATAGTTCACACTTTCAGACGTAAATACATTGGAAAGACATTTGTCAAAACAATGCCAGTGCATGAAAAGCCCAATTCGTGTAATTATTACTTGGTAGAATTGCCGAAGAAGCCATGTAAAATCTCCGAGGAGCACATACTTTTGTCTAACGTTCGCTACCCTTCTGTCAAAGTAACTAAGCGTGACTCAGACTATTGCGTTACTCCAACTAAACGTAACACAGTAAACCGTTAACAACAGAAATTCCATCTTTGTTCAAATGCGGGACGGCCCTCAATTTTACCCAAATTGCTGAAAAATTGGAAGCAAACGACTAATTGAAAAAAGGTCAGAAAATTTCGTTCTTTGATGAACATTGCATTAATTCAACAGCACCACTTGCGTCTATGAGTGCTCATGCAATACAACGTGCCCTTACTGCATCGAAACTAAGCCTCCCGATGCATACTGGTCAAGTAACTATTGGCACCTGTGTTCGGTGAAATAACAAAAAACTTCTGTTTTCTTCTTGAACTCAGCATTTCCAGCAGGCAAACTGCAAAGATCCTTGGGAGGGTTGCCGTATTTAGCTTTATATAGAGATCCAGCATTCCAGGTTAGCATTTGCTACATTCGGAGTTAATATCGCGTCACGTAGGAGTTACGATAAGATTTCTATTATTCATAAACTAATGCATTTTAGTGTGACACAGATTTAGGCAAAGTGCTAATCACACACTCTTAGCAGGATTTAATGTAAAAGTCTGTTTTTTCACTACTGACCACCTTGCTCAGTATGCATTCTCCAAAATTATGCTGTAATGTGACCTTCCAAGATCCGTTTTTTGAACAACTTTGCGTCAGCCATTTTTCAAATTTTAACCTTCTTGTACTCAACCAAATATGAAAGGTTGCCTTTACCGATATCCCCTTGGATTCTGCTCGCAAACACTACAAACTACTCTCATGTTGAGGACGGGTCACGGCTGTCACGGTAATCGTGGGTATTGTGCTAAACTCGAGGCCAGTCTTAGGATGCATTCCAACGCCAAACGGCATTTTATAGCCAAATAGCCGATGACATGTGCTGCCATTACGATGGTGAAGGTGTAATTAAAATGCCTGTAGTAACCGACCTCCCACATAGATGGCCCCGATGTTTCGTCGGACGGTTGTGAGGCAAAATTGAAATATGCCCAGTATTTTAGTGGGCTCAGCACTGTGCTACAATGATACCAGTATCCCTAACAGATTGCAGAATTTTTGTGTACAAACTCAACTTTGGATCCTGATAGCGTAGTTACACAATACCAAACTGGAGTCGCGTGCTATGCATAAGCTCGCTGATCACATGATTCTTTCCAACGTAATTGCCCACAATTTATTAAAAAGTTGGTAACAAACACGCTAAAGCCCTCTTTACTAACCAAAGCTGAATCTCAGGCTGTTAGGAAGGCGTTCGTTTTACCTGTTTTACTCCATACATATATTTTCAAAATAGGTTTATTTTGACCATGCTACGAGCTTGCACATATCTTGCTCTTGAAATTCAGGAACTAGTAAATTCACCAATTTCTAGTTTCAGGGATGTTGCCCTGAGACCAAAATAGTGTATATATCAAGAAATATTTTCTGATTTCTGTCAGCACAGCAGTATCCAGCATACTTGACAAAGGCATTCTGTCCACCGTCCAAACGCTGGATGGAAATATTTGCGGACGTATCTAATGGACCATGATCACCACCTTCCAGAGAACACGCAATGTCAAAACAATTAATTTGTTTTGGATTCAGCAGACTGATTGCGGCAACACAAGAGGATCGTTGAGCAGAATAGAATGACGTGAGAATGAATTCCGTGAATTCCTCAACGCACTGGCAAAAATAATGTTTCAAAAATTAACATTGACTCCTGCGCACCTCCTCAGCACTTTTCACTAAGTACGATATCTTCAGCCAGCCACTCCATTGGTTATGAGCTGGTTATCATGAGCGTATGGTTTCTTCTTTTGACCCTGCATCATTCAGTCTTCGTTTAAAATCTGAAACCTATCACGTACAAACAGCGAGCCACCGGATCGTCGTTGAAGTACAAGTATTTTTGCCGTTACTAAAACAATTGCCTTGTCCAGTATCTTGTGGTTTCAGTTGGAAAAAATACTGCACGCCTAATTGTAAGATGCAGAACCTTAACGTGTTACCAATATTTCAGCTGCCTGGCTAGATTTCTGCGCATGCAATGTTCGGAGAAAGAGGCAGCGATCTTTAGGGTAGACATTTTGTGTCAGTGCGCGAACATATACTGGGCACCGAACCGATCCGTTAGTGTTGGAATTACTTCATCGGCACTTGTAGCGTATGTACGGCCGTTAGTTGTTTAATCATTATCAAGTGGATGCCAGTGCGAGTGAATGACAATGCTAGAAGTATGAATATAATTTCACCTGTTACTGTGACCATCTGTAGCTCAGCCAAACAAAATAAATTGTCATAATGAGTGGAACTTCCACTATAGAAGTGGTCACCCGAAGAGTCAGCCAACGTTTAGCAGCATAAACACTTAATGTGGGTTTACGTGGGACACTTTCTATCTATACCTTCTTTGTGTACGTTATCCACAGTGATAATCAGCCTCACGTAAGTGATGAAACAATTGGCTGCCTGGATGTCGTCCATTAGAAACGTATTGTGTAGGCTAATCAGGAAGGATAAATTATCTCAAGTTCTTAGAAACGGTAGCCCTTGTTCTGTCATGTATCTTACGAAACTCCAATGGAACCAGTAGATTGCCCGTGCATATGATGGTCACAGATTCTACATCGCCCGCACCTCGTGGCAACAGCGAACGCAAGAACCCTGTAATGCGGACGTTGCTTTCGGAGCCAAACGTCATGGTGAAAACAACAGCTGGAAATGAAAGGAAAGTAATGCTCGCCGTGCTTGAATTTTGCCAAGTTAACCCTACAGAGCTCGTGGAGATTACGTCAAATAAATAGTATATTACCACCTTCCATCAGAGCACTGGTAAGAAGTCCTATGTACGACAGCACTCAACGCACCGTGAGCTACGAGAAAAGCTGCAATAAACACTTAAAATTTCGAAAAATATATTTGTCATCCAATATTTAATGTCGCACAGAGCACGAAATGTCCGCCTTGTGAACGTTGACACGGTTGGGATTCTGGGGAAGTTAGACGGTTGATGGATATTTTGGAGCATACACAGATATTTAAGGTGGTTTTGGGGTGTGCAAAATTCCAACATATCGATCATGTCTGAGCATTCTGCCACTGTTGCGAGAAGCCCGTCAGTCAATAAATGCAAAGTACCGAGACACTGTGCGGCACATCGGACGTACTGATTAAATGAAAATTGTGTAAAAATATTTTACCTGGTCAAACGTGATCATTTAAATGTGTCCTTAAATGACCCTTAAAATGATCCGGTTTTTTGTGTTGTTTTAGGAAATTAGGGTATTTTTCTCCTCAAACCCCAGTAGCCTTATGTAATGGTTAACACTGCACATAATCGCGTTCAAGGGGCCGATTTTTGACCTAAGTATATCAATTTCACAGCCGTTTTCATGGTACTTTTATATAAAAAACAGCACGTGTGGACACGGAACTTTCATTACTTTTCGCCTTCAGAGAAGATGCGCAGTACATTTGTATTTTTTAATGATTGTGAGTTCATCTGAATACTTGAGGGTAGAATGCTCTGCAAAACTCCACCATGCCGGCAGTTCACTTCGAGTTTTATTAAACCCCAAGCGAAGGAACATACTGTTCGCAATGCATGCAAATTAAGAAACAGTCACGAAGATTATCAAAAACTGCTCTACTATCAACAATTTTAGACTTCAGGAAACACTTTATGTCCACGTTTTAAGCATTTATTGTGAGCGGCACCGCCATGAAGGTATGTACGACCGCTCTACAACATACATGGTGATTTCATCCCGGAAAACCTCTGTATGGCAAAGCTGACGGGTTGGATATCACAGCTGTCTGACTTCAACATACCATGACAATTTTAGTAAATTGTGTGATGGAATATTAGCTTGAGCATCAACCAGAATTGATGTTAATATTGAGGACAATTCAGTCTAAGCAATTTGAAATCTGGTGTTCTGAATTGCTGCAGTCATTTGTATGCGCAAAAAACTTTTGTCTCTTTGTTAAGCTATCAGACAGATATGCATACCGCTGTCCGACAGACGTAAAAGTGGCAGTTTGTTAGCTTGAGTAGTGAACTGCCTCCCTGAGATTTTATCGTTTCATCTCGCTCTGTTATATGTGCTTACAAATTTGAAGCTTCCTAATTGCCTGAAGCTGCAAGCCATGAAAATGGAAAAGAATCTGCACTGTATGTTCTGGCAATCAATTTATATATATATATATATCTGAGTCTGTGCCGAAAAGACTCCACTTCGAAAAATTTCAGACACGGTTGAATTTGGAGCTCAGGGGTTCCAAACTCCAGTTGCCTCAATCATTATAACCGATTTGAAATGTGATGCATTTTTGTCACCGATCCGTCCTCTTACCCTAATTATCAGGTTTATGTTGTAATTGGCAATATTTTTTGCATAAATGTCCCATAAAATTTTAAACAGCATAAACTGCATACCTTTGTCCAGTAATTGGACCTTAAACACCTACATGCCGTATGTGTCGGTTAACCTGATTAGTGAGCGAAAAACTGATTGGCATAGCTTATCATAAATTTTGAAAAAAAAACTGCAGATTTAACATTCCTAAGGACGCCGCTGGGGAAGACAAGTTTTTGACCACCGATTCTTGTGTGGATAAATCTCATGGGGATTACTTTCTGGGTCTCGGCTTGAGTAAAAACGATTTTGAAGGTCGCATTCAAATGTGCTTGCTAAAAGGCCCCCACCAAAGCCTGTTGTGCATTGTGAATCTTTTGTTGTTCTCGATTTAAGGCTTCAAATAATGGGAGAACCTAAGGCCACAGTCCTCTGGCCTCATCAATGTCAAACACTCCAGCCCTTTGTCCGTGCTGAATACCAACTTACTTAGGGAGCAGTCTTTTAATAGATCGGGTATTTTTACTGTAAATTTTAAAATAGTTCGCACTCACAAGGTAGATCAAAATATACCGAACTTTTGTTTTGTTCATAAGGGTTATCGGATTGAAAGAAAGTGAAGCTCCAGTACTGAAAATCTAAGTAAGGTCATGGATTTACAATAATAATAACGTTCATTTCCAAATGGTGGGGTAAATTGTTAGGTGAAATTCCACACGGATGCCGCTTTGCTGCTTGCATTTAGGCACTGCCATGGCAGAGAAGCCCATCCCGCACAAGATTAGCCAAAAGTTCGGGCCTCTTGTCTGTCCGCCATCAAGGTGATCTCCTATGTGTCAGAAGCAGCCAATCGTGACCCAATATTGGTTGAATGCCGGTTGCCAATAGAGCATCCAGAAGAAGTCTGAATTTTTGCAAGACTGTCAGGGCGTACTCTGCACATACGACGCCATGTACAAAAGTACTTAACTTCGTTTTAGGCATCAATATAAATTGCGCATAACTGGTGGTTCTTTTGACGGGTACACTGGGAGGTTAAGGCCGAAAGGTAAACTGAAGGAAATAGCGATTTTACAATTGGTGAAATGGAACCCATGTTGTCAATCGAAGTCGGTTGCTCTAGTAACAATTACGGCTGCGACAAAAGCCGTTTAACAATGCGCAGCTGAAGCTTACTGAATCACTGACTTACATACTGCACATCCAACACCAGCCAAGACTAGTGAATCTACTCTTTCCTCAAGCGATGCAGTTGCGGCCTCAATCACAAAGTTCCCATTCGACCCGCGTTCTGGTCATGTTTTTGGCTCCCGGTTTAAGCGAAAACGTTAAAAACTGCTTTTTCTAATTTTGATGACGAGTGGACAGCCAGACTGTTGCTGCGGACACTTGGTACACTAAAGCATGAACTATAAACATACTTCGTCTCTAAATTGTCCCGCAACCTCAGCGTTTATGGAGCAGTTTGAACACTGTCCCAAATATTCGGAAGTCATACAATACTGCTAAATATCCGTCACGAATGCCTCGAGCTCGTCAAAAAAGATTATGACGATTTCATCACGTTTTTCGGTGGTCAGTCGGAAAATGCAAGTGCTTCAATCTGAGCTTAGTAAGGGAATCCCTTTGTGTCCCATTTTTGTATCCGGTCTCCATAGGTGGCTTACTGAAACTATCGCGCCGTTTGATAAACTTTGGTAGGTAAAGCAGGAGGCCAAGAACCGGCACAGAGTTGCATGACCATTTAGTGAGATGCAACAGGAATGCTGTCAAGCGTGGTCATAATGTTACATTCAGAATTAAATCACGACTAGTGGGATTTGTGGCTATTAGGGATTACGCGGAAAAATTACGGTCTCTCAACAGTCTCTCTCAACATTATCCGACGTAGACACCGTCAGGTCTAAACCGGAATGAACAAAATGAAGTGGATATCGCCGGCAGGGAAATACATCTGATCATATTTTCCATTTTTGTGGAACATATCAAGCTGAAGCAAGGTCAGACCGTTCAAAACTTGAAGATTGCATGCAACTGTAGAAAGGTGAGGGGAAAATGAAGGCTACCTAGCACGTCATAAAAAACGTTCCTGTGCTTAAAAGCAAGTATTGTTTGACGCTTTGACTATATTTCAAACCATATTCTTCAGATCGTTATTTTTATTCTCCATGATCTATCCCTGTTTCTGCAAGAAATGTTTTGCATTGTAATGTGCTAATTGTTGTTCGAAGCTCTGGCTTATGTGAGTCTGTCGTTTAGCACAATGAAATTCACTAAATAATTCCGCCGGTACTACTGGTCAGACATTTAAATCCACTGCAATTTTGTTTTCCTACACCGACACAATAATTCTTCCTTCCTGTGCCTTGGGACTTACGCCACAACAGCACAAAGCTGTGTTCGTGTGAGGTGCCCAATTTTGCCAAGCATTGTTCTGCTTACGTCTCAGCGTGAACGACAATTGCCTTGGGAATATTGGTCCTAATTCGCATGAATAACGCATATCTTACGGAGACACTTTGAAGCAAATAACATTCAAATCATAATGGCTGACTAGACCGACTGCGGCTTGTCGAATAGCCCGATTAGCTGCAACTCAGTTAAAAATCAGGAAAGGAAACAACCAATCCTAGTAGTTTGTTGGTTGATTCCTGCTTTGAACTTACATTCATCGTTGCATCTGCAAGAAAAAAAACACATGCGGCTACATTTTTCACTTCATGTCGATGAATCCATATTTCATGCGGTCCGGCTCCTTTCAAGACCTTCTACGGAACTGCGGTGTTTTTTGCTCTCAGTTTGTCCAATAGATCGGTATAGCGTCAACGTAGCAGGACATAATCATAGTGCTTAACATATTAGTGATGATAAGCTATCAGAAAACGAACCTATTTATTTTTTTTTTGGGGGGGGGGTAGAACAAATGTACTTTTTGGTTGATCCAGTCCTTAAGATGCGCAGTATATTTGAGAACACCGATAGCATCTGGAAACCAGGTGACGACCAATACTTGCATTTGCATACCCTCAAATTTATATGTTTGCCAACTCAAAAGTGGGTAGCTCATGCAAGGCAACCATACCCAAGCATGTAAATAGGGCGGCTTCAAAACATTCCGTTTATGTTTGGTGGCATGTTGGTAAAGGCAAACAGCCACTCTAAGTCTGTGCAGTCTACCTAACGTGGTATGATTAGGTCGTGGCTGTTTCTGTCATACATGGTTTCACTAGACCTTCTGGTGATTAGTTAAACCGCATTCTATGTTTGCTTCTTCCCCAGCAGTGGACGTCATTAGAACGTTCTCGCTGCAGTCCGAGGGAACAATTCGCGTGCCTGGGAAGTTTGTTGTCAATTCCAAATTATCAAAGAATTATGTGACATGCCTATCGTTTGCCGCGAAGCTTGACTCAAAACGGCTAAACATATTAGTGGCCATTCCATCAAGTAACGCAGAGGAGAATTGTCAGACAGCTCTGGGCTTGTTTCACGGGTGTTTTTCCTGAAATCCCCTCGCCCAACGACCTCGATTGACACTGTGTTGCTGAAGGAAGAACACAACCCAATATTGCGTGCCATATCAATATATGTATATCCTGCGCTATGTGAACGAGTGCTGATTTTTTTATGAGGACTATATGCAAGGTGTGTTGGCGGAGGTTGATCATCCTCTGTCACGAAAACAAACGAAGTTACAAAGCAACTGCATCTCCAGACCAGGATAATTTGAGAGTTGCCTTTTAGGCATATTTGTGTCATCCCAGAGTTCAATGCGCCCCACTCAAAAGACGAGAAGGACCTACTGAGAGTGTGCATGGAAGAAGTCAAAATGCAATACAAGGACTGCGCTTGTTCGCACAGGCGAATTGTCTATGTCACCCAAGTTCTTTATGTGGTTCTGACTTGCTTATATATACACCTTGAGTCTCTAAATGCCAAGGATTGGGGTACATATAGAAGGTTACAGCAAGGTAAAAGATTACGTCTGTTACTCGAAGACACCGCGCACGGTTAATTTTTGGTTGTCATATCTGCGCCCTTCATTTAACGTGAAATGAGTTTTGGAAATTTATACACTGAAAACCAATTTGTTTTTCAAAGCACAATCGGTCAAATGGTCTTTTCATTGGTCCATCTAGGAAGCCACGCCAATATTCCTCAGTATATAGCTAGCAGCTTTTCATCAGCCTGTCCGGTTCTGATTCATTGTTGGCTGGATCACAAGCGAGTTTACTAAGTTCTATAGTTTACGTCCGCGATGATGAACTTCCAGTGATTCGCAAACCGGAGAACCATCCCTAGAGGTGCGCGACAGTGAATAAGTTAAACCGTCTAGAATCCAGCCTGGTTCATCCTTTTCTCATAGCACGTATTATGGATACAACTTGCTACCGAATTTTTACAATACCCGTTCTATGACAACCATTTTCAGGTACACTTCGGCCCCTCACTGGATCAGGCAACCGAATTCCCGGGTCCAATCAAAACCCCATTGCTGAAATCTACATGTCCATGGTTGCACGCACTTTGCCTCTTTTGTTGAATAAAATCTGGTTGTAATCTGAGATCTTCAAGAGGAAAAGGGCTCAAAGAGTTTTTCGATGAGATATAAAACACCCAGGACGAAACAAAATAAGGTGCAAAATTGCACAATTGGGCTTTTGATACATACATGAGGAAGCTGCTCAAGTTAGCAAAATAAAGCCTCTCTCGGATCCCACAGTCGTGTGTCAATATCCTACTTGTTCACGCGCAAGATCTCCGTAAATTAGCTTATGGATTTGCCTGCATCCATAGCACACTATGGGCTACCAGCTAATGCGGAAATCAGGGGTTGTTATCTTACCTAGAGACTTGCTTGCCAAATACGCTTATGTCACAATCTATTGCAACAGCCTCACTAAAGTGAAAACCATTAAACGGACTGCGGCGAAACTTGACAAAAAAGGAATAACTTTAGTTGTCAGTGCAAATGGTACATATTCTGCACAGTTGTTAATTTAAGTGGATAAACCTGGCGTCAGCGATACAAACGAACCAGAGTTAGCGCCCGACACATTTATTTTCTGAATCATTGCACTGAACAAGCACAGCAATAAACGGCTTTAACCTGCGTTGTACGAAAGATTTTTCATGGGTTTTCGACAGCCTTCTGCGTGAATAAAGTATTGTGAAACGAACAGACATCAGTAAATGTATAGACGACACATAATACTGACCAGTATAATTAAAATCACCAGCATTTTGCTACCACAATGACTTGCCATGTATTGTTCATAAGCTGTGAATAGACGAGCATAGCATTTTTGAGGTCAGTGCAAAGTTAATGGGTTAAATTACTATGCAGATCATTTCTGGCACTACATCAAACGAGTCTTATAGCTTCTAAATTAGCATCTACATTATTTTCGTGAAACAAACTTTTTCATTCAGAAATTCGTAATCACGTTTGCCTTTTGCTGTAGGAGGTAAATCTTCACCATGTTCAAAAGCACTGTTCCGATTTCACACACAACGCAAAAAAAGTTTTGTTCTATCGTTTTTTATTTCTACCTTGAAATGCCCAAATGCCTAATGAGTATCTTCAAAGCAATGTAAATTTCTGGGCACGCATCTCACTGATCATTGTTTGGGTAAGGCTGATAACCAGCATAAACAATGCCAAAGATTGTTGGTAGGGTGAGGAGATTTGGGCTTTTTGTGGAGATTTCGTTCTGTAAATGAAGCCAATCCATGCTAAAAAGCCGATAAGCACTGTACAGCTGTTTCATCCTTATTGGGAATCATCAGCAGTACGCATCTCACGAAACTTCGAAGAATCTCGAACGCGCGACCTCCCGGCTAGTTGTTTGAACACTTAACCGTTCGGCCACGAGTGGCTGATCAGCAGTGTGACTCTTCGGAGTTTCGTGAGATGCGTACTGCTGATGATTCCCAATAAGGATGAAACAGCTGTACAGTGCTTATCGGCTTTTTAGCATGGATTGGCTTCATTTACAGGACGAAATCACCACAAAAATGCCAAAGATTCTATCGGAAAAACCGCAGAGTACGTTAGCATGCCTGTAATGACGTCTCTATTTTAACACGGAAAATGCTGTCAGTTTTACATTCCAATTCGTGGTTTCTCCGCGGGCTACCGGTTTGTGTATATTCAGTTCTTAAATATTACGTAATGCACGAACTATAACGCATAAGTTCATCTTCTTCTACCTTGCAGTTACAAAACCAGACAACTGTTCCATGGAAAAATACGAAACTTCTTGTTTGACCTTCGGTGACTACGAGGCCTTGCAAATGCGTCACACCAGAAAGCGGATCAGCAAATCGGAAATTTTGCAACTGAAATTTCACATATGACTCATCCTAAAAACTGAGTTGTACAGATTGATTGGCTTGTTCATCTTTGCCGTTAGCCAAACAAACTGTGGATCTACTGCGCTTGGTTTGGATAAATCAGTTTTTGCAATATTTAATGCCCAAAACTTAACAGTTTGGCCTAAAATGTTAGTCTTTTTAGAAGTTAAAATAAAAGAGCCGTTTTGCCAACTGTTCGATGTGCCTACTCATGTTTCAATATTGAGCAATCAAAGGCCTCCTTTGTCATTTATTGAACAATAGAGCCTATAATTGCCATTTTTTAATTCACTTTTACCTTTACGCATTTCTGGTTATTAAACCAAAACATGGCACATGTTGAAAAGTGCTGAGACACTCCAACACGTTACACTTATTAACTAACTGTTAAGGTCTGCCAAACCATACGGCCAATAGCTGTCTGGTCACTACTACGAGTTTTTCTGCTCTTGTAAATTTATGTACGCATGCGAGTTTCATAAATTTATTGGCAAATGAATTGACAACTGCAGCACAAGTTTGTATCAAAACTGCTTAGTGAGATCAGTAAATGATCACTACATAAAAGCAGCATCTTCGAATACGTACAGGAATGAAGGCAGCACCAAAGGACCTTAGTAAGCGACTCATTTGAGTAGAAGGTTCGGTAAAGTTGACAGGAAGCATTATCATAAACACGTAAGGATGCTACGTTAAACTCACGTTTACGATATTCCACATCACCTTGAAAACAAGTATATTGAATACTGAATAAAATGTGCACAGTCAAGAAGCACATTTGGCGGAACTATTGCAACAGGTGCCCGCGTACGTTAGTCCTAATAGAGTTGTTTTGCGAACTTTTAGCAAAAACTGCTGAATGACCTGCTAGCCAGCAGCGTTTGATTACTGGGCACCTGCAAATGGGTTGTCTGTTTACACGAGGCCAACTGTCGCGATGCATAGAATCTTCGACTCTGAATTGACGTAATCGGCAACAAACGCGCTAAGGCTTACTGGCGGTGAATCGATTACTTAAGTAACTTGACCAGCGGAAGGCAACCTCAGGTGAAAATTCCAAAATAACACTCTGAATAGGAACTGATAGCAAAAATGATTTTAACATCGATCAGCAGCTACACTTTGCGGTGTCTTCAATCACGCCAAATGAAAACTTGCGGTTCCCATCCAATATTTGATTTCTTGTTGGGATTACCCAGATATTTTGTAATCACATTGACGCCGATCATACAAGCGCCCTTAAAAATACATACCAGATATGCGGTATGCAGTTGGCTTTGAGTGAACTTCAATTGACTGCTTCAGTGCGTCCTGGGAGAGATCGTG